TGGACGAGCTGTTCGGTTTTGGTTTTGGTTCTTTTTCCAAAAGAACTCCCCAGTGGGCTCCGGCAGAACCCGCCGGCCACCCGGAAACGTGCTCAACGACCGGAAACAAATGCCCAAAAACGGCCGTTTCGCTCGGGACATCCTCACAAAATCGCGAAGATGGCCCAAGATGGCCTCCAAGTCCGCCCGAGATGGTCCAAGACGGCCTCCAAAACGGCCCAAGAGAGTCCAAGACGGCCCAAGACGGCCCAAGAGGCCCCCCAGAGGCCTCCCAGACGGCCCAAGAGGCCTCCAAGAGGTCCTCCAGGAGAGTCCGAAGAGGCCAAAATCATTGATTTTCCCTTGGTTTTTGAAGGATTTTGGCATTTGCGCCTTTTCGGCTCTCCGACGGCTCAAGACGGCCCAAGAAGCCCCCAAGATCGCCCAAGAGGCCCCCAAGAGAGCCCCCTGATGGCCCAAGTGGCCTCCAAGATGGCCCCTAGAGGGCCCCAAGACGGCCCAAGAGGCCTCCAACACGCCCAAGATGGCCTCCAAGACGCCCAAGATGGCCTCCAAGACGGCCCTGGAGCGCCCCAAGAGGGTCCCCCGTTGGCCCAGAAAGGCCCCCAAAACGGCTCCCGACGGCGTCAGACGTGCCAGGAACCCACCAAGATGGCCGAAGTTGGCTCGAAGCTGGCCCAAAAGGGCCCAAGAGGCCCCCAAGAGGGCCTCCAGGAAGGCCAAAAGATGCCAAAATCACTGATTTTCCCAAGGTTTTTGATGGATTTGGGCATTTCCCTTTTTTCGGCCTTCCGACGGCCCGAGACGGCCCAAGAGCCCCCAAAGATCGCCGAAAGATCGCCCAAGAGGCCTCCAAGACGGCGACGATGACCATCAAGACGCCCACGTGTTCCCCGAAGGCTTTCCAAACCGATTCGGGGAACACATGGTCCGATGGCTTGGCAGGTCTGGCCTCAACGTTCGGCCACATAGGCGCTTCCACAAAGGCAGGGGGCGGCGGTGATTCGCCGTAGGCGTCTTCGATAAGAGTCGTCGACAGCATCACGAGGGAGACGACTAGCAGCAGCCAGCCAGCTAAAGAGTCGCTCATGGGCGTGTCCAGGAACATGTGGTTGATCGTGGTGCGCGAGTTCTTGATCATGGACTGAGCCAATAGATCATCCAACTCCTCCTGGCTTCCCGCCTCCGCGACCTTCGTCACGAGCTTCTTGTCGAGCTGCACGATGCGCTGGGTGATCGGCGACGTGATCTTCTTGATGAAATCAACTTTCGCCGCCTTCTGCTGGTCCTCCTCGATGCCAGCAGCTGTCACGATGCCATTCCCGATGCGGTAGAGGACGTGCGTAAAATATTCTAACGGCAGCATGAAGGACACGGTCAACAAATTGAAACAATCGTGCACTGTGGCGCCCGCAAACGCACGACGGTACTCGTCCTTGTCTCCCACATGCGACAAGCTGACAATCGTGTTCGTCACCGAAGTCCCAACGTTTGCCCCCATGATCATGTAGATAGCGTTCTCTGGCTCCATCAGCATGGCCGCTGTCATGGAAATGATAATCGAAGTGCTGGTAGACGATGACTGGACCAACACAGTGGCCAAGATTCCGAGGGAACACCCCGCGAATGGGTTGTCAAAAATTTTGCTGTTGCGGAACGTCCGACCAGCCGTTGGGCCCCCGATTATCTGAAACGCATTGCCCATCACGCCGAGGGAGACGATGAATACATACAACAGGCCTATAACGACCACGGCCTTCAGGAATTGCACAGTCACGTGAAGGACTTTCTGTGGGCCTGTGCGGTCAGACCACGCCAGCTCGCTGGACTGCATCTCCTTCGGAGCCCACTTGTCATCCTCGGACATTGCGGGGTCTCTGGAAGCGGTGGCGTGAGGGCCAATCCCAGCAATAGAGGCGCCTCGCTCAGCAAGCTGTGAGGGGCTGCTTGACGAGGTGGATCGTTCGGGAGGGGCCGGCTCGGGCGGGAATCGCATTCTAGCCAGATCGGCGACACATCGGCGATAGGTCGGCGATAAGCCTTCGAGAGCAGAACCGCACGGGCATGGGCGATGAATGGGCCTCGATGAACAGCTGACATTGTCGGCGATGAATGGGCGATCGGCGGTCGATGCATCCTGCTCTGAGCCTGTCCCCCCCTACATGGAGGAAAAAAAACGGCATAGACATAAACTTTCAGAAGTCCGCGCAGATGTTTTGGATCGGCGCTGGGCCCCCCGCCCTGGCGCGCGCAGCGGCGGGAGTGCCCAGCGCCTATCCAACAAATCCGCGCGGAACTCCGAAAGCTGTTCCTCATGCAGAGCTTTCTTCTTCGATGGATGAGGGGGGTGTGGCGCTCCGTCGGCTCTACAAGAGCTGGTGGCGGGGTACCCCTGGCTCCGCTCGGCCGCGACCACACCGCTCGGGCAGCTCGGGCCGAGTCGCGAGCCAGCTGAGGCCGAGTCTTGAGCCAGAGGAGGGGAGGACCTGCGTCGTTCGGTGCTTCACGACTCCTGCCGTCCCTCGTCTCGCGCTGGAGCGTCCACGAGTTGCTCCAGGCTTCCCTGGAGATCTCTGGACTGACATCGGCGTATCTGGAGCTACCTTTCATGGCCATGATATGCCCCGATTTATCTGGCATGGTCCCCGTACGTCGATAGGAGAAACGTCGTGAAGCTCTTGGGGACTGTGTCATGGCGACCCAGCGAAGAATCGGGCAGCAACGAGTCCGGAGATCGGATCGAGTCGGAACGTGCGTCGGATCGGCCCGTGGCGCCCGCCGCATCGGCAAGGAGTCGAGATCGCCCCGGATCGGCTGCTCGCGGCGCCGGCGATCACGCGCCGCGGTCGGAGGAGCCTGGTCTGGGACCCTGCGCCAGGGGCAAGCCGCGGAGCAACGCAGTCTGGCCGCCTCTGGGGCCACAGTGTGGCCTTTGTGGAACCGTCCTGGGGTCCTCCTGGGGAGGCTTCGGAGGCCCACTGGTGCCTTCTGGGGCCGTCGGCATGCTGGGGCCTGCTTGAGACCTCGTGCCTCTCTGCTGGGGCCCCTTCGGGGCCCCGAGACTGACCTTCAAGAACCTGGCGTGAGGAAACTCCTGAAGCTGAGAACATCAAGGCGCCGACTGTTTGTCGTCCGCCCCCAGTCCCGAACAGACCCCACTGGAGTCATTGATGGGCGTGTTTTCCACCACCACCACCACCATAGGTTGGAGGGGGGGGTCCTTCTCCTCCCCCTCCTCCTCCTCCTCCTCCCCCTCCTCCTCCTCCTCCTCCTCCTCCTCATCGCCATCCTCATCCTTCCCCCCTCCAACTTATGGTGGTGGTGGTGGAAAACAGGCTCGTCAGTCATCTTGAGGGCATACGGCAAACTGAAGCGTCAAACTGTCTTCAATTGCTGGTTGCGCTCCTCCGGGGCACCCAGAGGCCTCGCGTGGCACCTCTTGGAGCCCTCCCGGGGCCCTGCTTGGGCCGTCTACCACAGATTTCGAGGCGCGCCCAGGCCCTTTCGGAGGGACGGGGGCAGAAAGGTGGGCCGCACGTGGACAGGGACTGGTTCGCTGGCGACATAATGCTAGAATCATCGCGCGTGCTTCGCGCGCGATCTCAAGCTCTAGCTAGCGTGCGCGCCAGGTCAGAGCTCGAACAAAGGCCAGGCCGGGACAATGCAGAACCACAGCGTGACAAAGGCGGCTTGGAATCATCTTTGGGTTTCTGGAGGCGCTCTTTGGCCTTTCTCAGGGAAGCCGCACAGCTATAGCTATACTGCCGCCGAGCAGTTCGAGATCTCACAGTGTGTGAGCAGGCACGACACCCACGGAGCAAAGACTGGTACTCATGATCCAAAGGTCCTCTTGTCGCACTCGTGAAACCTACTACAAGGGAGGATGCGAGGCTGCAGGAGGGAGACTGAGGTTGATAATGGCAGGTATGGGAATGAGAGCGCGGATTGAGGCTTGATTTAAGAGAAGAGGTGTCCAGGGAATAGTGAGGAGTCTCGCACAAGACCACTGCAGACCTACTGAAACTGATTGCAACAGAAACCATGCAGATCTCCTGATTCGTCCTAGGATGACTCAATTCCTCAGTGAGTGGACTGATCCTGAAGAAATGAAGGCCCTCTTAGCGCACTCTTGTGACCTACTCGAAGGGAAGGAGGCGAGAGGTAAGACAGAACAGGAGGCGGAAATAGGGAAAATACGTAGCACTCCGCAGATGCGGATAACGGCAGAGTGAGGACGAGTGAGGGGGCGGTGGGGACGTCGGCAGTTTGCGAGTCTCTGGAGAAGCCCTCCGCAGGCGCCAAAGTGTCACCAATTATACAACGACACCGCCGCAGGCGCCGTTTTTTCGTTAAACCGCTGTGGGTAGGTCGCGGGTGTGTCGCAAATGGGTCGCGGGTGGGTCGCGGGTGGGTCGCTGTTGCGTCGCGGGTGGGTCGCGGGTGGGTCACAAGTGGGTCGTAAAAGGTCTCGGGTGGGTCGCGGGTGGGTCGCGGGTGGGTCGCGGGTGGGTCGCGGATGTGTCGCGAGTGGGTCGCGGGTGGGTAACGGGGTGGGTCGTGGGTGGATCGCGGGTGGGTCGCGGGGTGGGTCGCGGGTGGGTCGCGGGTTGGGCGCGGGTGGGTCGCGGGTGGGTCGCGGGTGGGATGACGACAACAAACAACAACAACACCGTCAACAACAACAACGCAACAAGCATAATCCTCACCACGGATCCCCACTTCAGCCACGCACCCAGGGACAATGAATGACCGTTCGGCCCCCTCACTCTGATAAGAATCTGCAATGATAGGGGTAATGATAACGCGAAGGGGCTATACTGAAGAATGCGCCAACCCCCACTTGCCAGGTATGACAAGGTGATAAGGCGTGTGAGGCATGTGGCTGTCCTCCCCCTCCCCCTTTCCCCTCCCCCCAGGGTCCAAAACCCGACTAGAAGGTGGGGGGGGCGGAAGGGGGGCAGGGGGGGGGTCTCTGGGCTCTTCAACGCACCCGCAAGGCCTCCGGAGAGTCCAAATTTACACTCTATGGCTCGAAGGTGCCTGATATTCCAGCAGAGCTTGCACAAGCTAGGCCCCAACACGCCGATGAGGCCTCAAACAAAGTCAGCCCACGAAACCTCCAAGACGCCCCAAGAGAGCTCCAAAAGGAACACCAGGAGGGCTCCAAAAGGCCAAACCCTTACCAATCCGACATGGTTTTGTTATGTGTTGCGTATTCTTCTTTTTGGTTGCAACGGCGTCCAAAATCTCCCAAGCGGCGCTCAAGATCGCAGCAAGACGGCCAAAGAGGCCCCCAGGACGGCCCAAGAGGGCTCAAAGACGGCCCAAGAGGCGCCCAAGACAGCGCAAGACGGTGGTAAAGAGGGAAGTCAACCTGACACTTCGAGCCCTCCTTCCCAAGCAGGCGCCAGCAGCGAGCCAAGAGACCGCCAGCAGGCGCCAAGAGACCACACTCAAGCCCCAAGAGGTCCAAGAGGCTCCCAAGAGGCCCGCAAAAGGACCCCAAAGGTCCCGGAACGGTCCCCGAGAGTCCTCAGAACTGCCTCCTAGCAGCTCCCCTAAGGCTTCCCAAGAGACCCCTGCTGGCGCCCAGGAAGCCCATGACTCACAAGCCAGGCACGGTGGCGGGATGGGCCGAAGGCCACTGGACTGCCAACAAAGGCTTCAATGAGGCTCACATGAATGGCAAACCATTGACTCACTGCCTCTTCTGTAGGTCGGCGGAGTGGCGCCCTGGGACACACAAATAAATACACACAAATAACAGGATTCCCCATATATTCCCATATGTTCTGGGTTTTCGTCTGCCCCCACATCCCATATTCTCCCATATTTTCTGGGGAATCGACGATTAACTGTGTCTGTTTTTTCCCTCCTGAAAGGATGGGCAGCCAGACGAAGAGTATCGAAAACGACTACGGCGAGTCACCGCCGCCCTCTGCATTTGTAAGGAGCTCACGTGGCCGAATGCCGTGGAAGCGTGGCGCACGTGCGGCCGATGATCTATGGACAACTCGCTCGACTCCTGAGGGCCCGCTTAGGCCGTCCTGGGGCTGTCTCGGGGCCCTTCGATGGGGCCCTCTCAGGCCTTCCTGGGGGCCTCCTGAGGCTCTCTCTCTCTCTCTCTCTCTCTTTCTCTCTCTCACCTCTGAGGGCCATCTTGGGCTGTCTTGGGGCCCTCCTGGGCCGTATGGGGCCCCTCGAAGCAGCCTGGGGGTCCTCCCGAGCCCTCTCGTCGCCCTCTTGGGCCTCTCGGGGCACTCATTTTCAGGCCGTGTTGGACCCCTCGTGGGCCAACTGGCGACCCTTCGCGGGGCTGCCTGCGACGGTGCGGGACCGACCTCGGGAGCCTCCTGGGCCACCGTGGACGCTCGTCAGAACGAGAATGCGGCAGCGTGAGATCCTCAAGGGACCCGAGGAACGATGATGCTGCTGGCCCCTGCGGGGCCTCGTCAGGAAGAAGGGTCCGGGCCGCGCACGGACACGCTCCCCAGGTGGCTCCTCCTCCTCCTCCTCCTCCTCCTCCTCCTCCTCCTCCTCCTCCTCCTCCTCCCCCGTCCTCACGTGACGCCCCGCGGCCTCCACGAGCCCCCCGAATGGCCTGGTGCGGTCTCAGCGCCTCGACCCTGGGGCGCGGAGCACCCCCTGGGGCGGGCCTGCGCTGCTCGGGGGGCCGGTGGAGGCCAGCTGGGGCTACGCGGGGGGCCTGTTGCGGCCAGCAGGGGTCTGTGCACAACCCGAGGCCTTGCCGGGCCTTCTGCCGCTCGTGGGGCATCTCGGGGGCACTGCTGGGCTGTGCTCAGGTCCACTGGGGCCGCTGTCTGGGCATCCTGGGCCGTCTCGGAACGATCTCAGGCAACTGGGGAACCAATCGTGTGGTCGCGGGGTCCTGGCCTGGGAGCCCAGGTCCCCCTATACTGAGGAGTTGGTCGCGACCCGGCAGGCCCTGCAGTCCGCCGTTATGCGTATACGTCGTATACGTGATGCCGTAGAAATTGGTACCCGCTTATACAAGCTCGAATGGATAGCACGAGTTGCAGCCAAGAACCTTACACAAAGCGGAGCTCCAACCACCAGATGAGGGAACATGTTTTTTCCATTGCTGCGCGGAGCGAGCCTTCCCCGGCCGCTGTTGAGATTACCCCGAAGTGACCATCTAAAAAGTGAGACATCGAAGAAATGCCGCGGTGAGCGCCGAGTGGCGCTACAAGACTGGCGGCCTTGACACTGCAGAGGGGCGATCATGGCTGCCCGGAAAGCAGCAGGCGGCAAAACCACTGCCCAGGGGAGGTCACGGCACCCCCAAGAGCACATGGCGAAGCCGCAGCACGAGGGACGATCCCAGCACCCCGGAAAGCAAGCATTGTGCCCACTCGGCACAAACTGAGCTGTACCAAATAGGATTTGGCAAATACACTCGCCTCGTAACTGAATCAGTTTTGCCTCAGATATTGGCCGACGCTTCATGGTAAGGCTTCAGGTTGCACACGAACAGCCCAAAGTAGTCCCAGCTGGCCTCAGCAGGCCCCACAGTTAGTCCAGGACGGTCTTGACACTCCAATACTGGGGCGCGGAGCGCCTCCAAGGGCGCCGCAGGTGGCGGCGCCGCCCCAAACTACTCGGGCGGCCTGTTGAGGCCTGCTGGGACCACTTAGGGGGGGCCCGCTGAGGCAAGCCGGGGCTGCCTTGAGAGAACCGCGTGCGCTTGGTCGTGGGCGAAAAAGCATCCGAATCCGCGGACTGCCGGGCCCGGCCCGTGGGCCGCGGCCCCGCGGATGCGGGGCGCTTCTGTTCGCGGACGTCCCGCGCGGAACGTCCCCGTGCGGTCGCGCCTCCGCGGGATCGCGCCCGGGATCCAGACCGCGAGGGCGTGGACGTGGGCACGTTCGCCGCTCGTGAATTGGCCGCGTGCGCAGTCCGCAGTCGTGCTCCACGCGCGCCCAGTGACAAAACCGCCGCCCCTTCACGACGCGCGGGCCGCCCAGTACAGGCGGGTCTCGAGCGGCACCTCCTCCCAGAGGGGCTCCCAGACCTCGCCGTCGTCGATGTCTTCGGCGCAGTCCGCCACAACGACCTTGGCGCGCTTCTGCGGGGCTACGGTCGGGAACCTTTGCTTCGCGTCGCCGCGGCGGCCCTGGCGACAGGCTATGCCACGCGAGCCGAAAGCGCGTCGCTCGGGCACCGCGACGAGGAATGGCTTGTCGCGTCGAAACGTGCCAGAAACGGCGGAGCGACACGCTAAGCAAAATCCTGACCGCAAAAATCCTGACGGCGAAGATTTACGGGGGACGGGTGGTCTGAGAAGGACCAACGAACTCAAATAGGAAGATGCCACTGCTTCGCTTGTGACCACACGCCCTCGACCCGAGCATCGGCTCTTTCATCTTTCTTCCCCTCCTCCTACCTCTCCTCCAATGTCCCCTTCCCCTCCCCATCTTTATCCCCGCCCTCCACCCTCTCCTCCACATTCTCCTCCTCGCCAACTTCCTCCTTCCCCATCGTCCCCTCCCCCCTCTGCTGAGACGAAGCTAGGACCAGGACAAATCGGACCGAAACATATCGGGGATCTCTGAAATCCAGCGGTTCTGAGCGGTGCTTCAGGGCGCTCCGGAACGCTCTGCGAGCGTTCCAGAATGCTCTGCAGCGATTCAGCCCGATCCTGTTGCCCGTCTGGTCTGACTCCCCCTCCCTTTCCTGCCTCATCCCCCTCCTTGCCCCCCCCCCCCAAGACACACCACAATCGACCCCGGCTGTGCTGCAGGCGGCCGGCTCATGAGCGGGGCGAGCAAACACACACACACACAAATAAACAAACAAGCACAATGAAGAAACTGGTCGCGGAGAGCGGGAGCTGGCCGCTTGGATACAGGCGCCGTGCTACTATAACGCACGCTGGATATGGAACGAAGGGGCTCTTCTGACAACGACGAGTCTCGGCTTCGAATAAATTCCCGGACCAATATCTTTGGTCCGGACACACCAGGGCCACTCCTGACCTGGAAGTGGTCCTTACTTCAGCGTCTTTGACTGTATGGAGGAAGCGGAGGGCGGGGTAAAGCGAGAGGGCCGACAAATACATTGACCTCGCGCACGACAGTCCTCAAACCTCAATGCCTTTGATCGGAGCTGGGCGTGGCGACGATACTTTTTTTAGACATGCCGCCAGGACAGGATGAGCCTGACAGAGATGAACAAGATCATCATCGGCTGGATGGAGACGGTTGCGGTGGAGGAGGACGGGGAAGAGAAGGAGAACGCGGGGATGATGGCAGGGGGGGGCGAGGAGAGGAAGCGGATACCCGCCTCGCTATGATTGCCCCGCCCTACCAAGCACTCCACCGAGAGAGTCGAGCATTTCGTGACCAAGCACGGGCCACCTCGAAGGAGGAAGACGAGGCGTAGGAAGGCGATGAATCAAGCTGTGGTCAGTACCCTCTCTGCTCCCTGCCGTAAGACGCGGCCAACCAACAACCACCGCTCAACGGCAACAAAACGAATTCATCACCAACCTCCGCGAGCTGAAACCGGCCGGCAACTCCTCCCTCCTCCTCCCTCCTCCTCCCTCTCCTCCTCCTCCTCCTCCTCCTCCTCCTCCTCCTCCTCCTCCTCCCCTCTCCCTCCTCTTCCGATTCCTCCTACTCCTCCCCTCCTCCTCCTCCTCCATCCCCCCTCCCTCCCCCTTCATCCCTCCTCCCTCCTCC